ATTACGTGAGGTCTTCTGGAATGCTTCTTTTTCATACCATTCCACTGCCCTGCTCAGCAAACAGTGAAAACCAAGGGTCTTGGAGATAAAATGGGGCAAAGGAAGCTAGAGAGCTGTATTATCACAACCAAGTTAAAATCTTTAAAATATTCCTGTTACACAGATTAATTTGAGGACCACAAAAACGTGCACTTGGCTCTGAGCTAAGTTACTTGGAAAACATCACATTTAGTGCTCACAACTCTCTGAAGCAGATACTATAACTATCATCCCCTTTTTTACAATAGAGGCTTGAAGAGATTAAGAAATGCAAAGTCACCAAGTGCTTGATACAACAGAATCATCATTTAGCATACATTCAGCCTTCTATCACACGTGCACTACCGCTGAAATTCAAGCATCTATATTGGCCATGGTTAAAGTCAACTCTTGGGTCAACTGTCTGAGATACCCAGCCAAACAGCTGAAAATACCGTAACTTTCGTCCTGCAAAATTGTACCAGTTAAAGCAGTGATTACAGCCACAGTATTGTTTTAACTGTTTATTAACAATGAAAACCTTGTTTACAGTTTATTTTTCTCTTTCTGAGGTTTTGATCCACCCACATAAAGGGACTCCTCTTAAAACTCTAACTCATTCCTTGCATCAAAATGGCCGGGTATTGTGAATAATGACCTAAATGCATATTTGGCATTTACAATTTGCCAGATGCTGTTCTAAGTGCTTTGTGTACATTTTTCCATTCAGTTTCCACTCAACCCTCTGCAGTAAGTGCTACTATTAGTTTTCAGATTGCAGAGGAGGAAACTGAGGCACATAAAGTTTGGATCACTTGTCCAAGGCTAGGGAGCTTGTAAGGGTGGGACTGAACTCAGCAGTCTGTGGTGAGTGTCTGCACATCTGTCTTTCATGGTCTCCAGCCTTCAAAGCTGAAACAAATGAACACACTGAGCCAGAAAGCCCAGGAGCTAGGGCCAGAACAGAGCTCTAACTCAGGCCTGACATACCCTCCCTTCCTCAAAGGACTAGGGTACCCGGAGCTATCTTCAGTTGCTCTAATAGTCCTTGAGACTTCTTTCCGCTTCTGAGCCTTCTGCCACTGAGCCCAGCTTGGCAGAGAATGCATTCTGCAGATCTGAGCTGCCGGGAAGCTTCTTCAGAGCCCCTAGGCTGTGTCCCCCTACTTTGCTCTCTGCACTCTCTATCGCATCACTGATGTTAACTGTAATTAAATCAGTCTTCGATCAATGGTTTGTTTAATGTCTTATGTCTCCTACTTGACTACGGGGGAGGCAGGTGATCTGTTTGGGTTGAAGGGCTTGGCTTCCAGTGCTTAGTATGTGCAATAAGGTTGAGAAATGTCAAGTGAACAAAGAAATGAATGAGGGCGCTGATGAAGATTATAGGGGAAAGCACACTCTGCCCCCACCCTGCCCCGGCCCCCTTACCACTGACTGAGAGCTCTATAAAGGCAAAAATTGGTCTCCCTTTTATCACTATAACCCCAACACCTGGCACTGTGCCTGACTCACAGGAAGTGCATAATAATTTTTGGTGGAATTAAATAATTAAAACATAGCCTCTGATTTCTTATTTGACAAAGAGGGAGAGTAAGACCCAGAACACAGCTTTTTAAAGCAACAGTCCATATGAAAACATGCTGAGCGCAGGCACAACACACAGTAAGTGTTCCATGAATGTCTGTCATTCAGTTGGAATTCCTGCCTCTCCTGATGCCCACTAACTCAGCTTCCAGGTCTTGGCAAGGCCAGGGGCTTAACAAGAGGGCCAAGCCCAGAAGTGAACCCCCTCGCCTCCCCTGGCCATGATCTGGTAGGGGTGAAGATGTTTACATTGAAACTGGGGTGAGAGGACTGTAATTAGCACAAGCAGGAACACAGGGCCATTAGGATCTGCCTCTGGCATAAAAGTTATACCTGGGCAGGAGACAGCCCCTTAGGAGTAAACAAAGTCAGATGAAGTAGAAGAGAAAAAAAAGCACAGGCCTACTGGCCACCCAATCCAAAAGAACAAATATGGTACCATCAGCCTGTCAGGAGCAAACATCCTGCATTCCCCTGTCACTCTGTCCCCTCACCCCCAGCCACCAGCCTCTGGGCTGCTGCAGAGGTTTAGAACACAAACCAGAATGTGTCATGACGCTGCTTGAAACCCTTGAGAGGTTAATATCTGAACTCCTCACCAGGCCAACTTCCACCTTGTTTGCCAAGCTGTGGCCGCAGAGTCCTACCATCAGCACTTCCACGTCAGGCCTTTCCCAGGCCCCACACAGGGCTTCTACCCAGGCTCCCTCAGCCCCACCTGTCTCCTCAACCTCCCTCAGGCTCACAGCTTCTCAGATTTCAGGTCTCAACACAGACCCCCTCCCAGCACTTAGCACAGCCTCAAATTGCGAGGTCTGTCTGTCTCCTCAAAAGATGGTGAGCTTCACAAGGGCAGGGAACACCGTCTGTCTCTCACCACTGAGTCCCCAGAGTCAGGGTAGGCTCCTAACAGAATATGTGAATGCATGCATGCATGAATGAACACATGCACACACTTCTCATAACACTTGCTCCAAACCTCTCTTTAGGTTCCAAGTAGAGGCAGAATATAATCCTCACTCACCTCCCAGACACTCTGAATCACACTCTGCTTACAAATCAGGGGCTCTACCCAGCCCAGGCCTGGGGGCTCCTCCATTCTCTCCACCATATCACCAGGCCTGTGGTGTCTTCATCTCATCCTTCAGTAAAGCTGAGAAAAGACCAGGAATGGAACCCCATATGTCTCTTGGCTAATTCCTCTAAATAAAGGACACAGGACAGCAAACACACACTACCACCACCATCTTGCTTTCCTTTGATAGTTTAGGAAGGATGTATTTACTGCCATCCTTTTAATTGTTCAAGCAAGTCCCAGAGTGAGCACTGGCTGCAAAATTACTACTCCAACTTCCCTTGTTTAATGTGCTTAAATGACTTAACAAAAAAACAGGTTTTGTGTTTGTGATGCCAAGAAGGGGTGGTAGCAAAGGAGAGAGTTAGGTTGCAAAGATCTGGAAAATCAGCTCTACATTTACTAGATCTTCCATTGAGCAGGTTTAGGACTCTTGCCCTCAATTTCCTTCTACCTCTGACAAATGGGAATGATGAGACCAGCAAAGGTCATCCTAAACAACTGTACTAGTAAAGAGTTTTTCTTTTGGCTTTAAGTTAAGGTCTTAGCCTTGAAAGACTGTGGTCCTCTAGGGGAGGGGGGGGTCTGCCCCCAAGAGCTAAGTAAGTAAATCACATTGCAAAAATACCTCTGAGTAGCAAGAAGACATTTTAGACTGAGACTCTATGACCCCGAGTCCTGGTCTGGGTTTGCAAAATGTCCCTTCACGGCCCATCTCCAGAGCCCCAGACCCAGCTCCAGCCCAAGGCCAGACCTGTGACCTGGACTGGAAGCCTTTCATTGGCTCCTCGGCAGCCAAGCGCAGTCCTTCCGTGGTGTAGAAAGAAAACGACAGCTCACAACCTCGCGGTCAAGCCAGAACACCAGCAAGACAAACTTACCGGGGATTCAGGCCCTGGCCTAGCTCTTATTCAGGCATCAAAGCCATCCACATCCCCCCTGCCCCCCTCCGCCCCCCCCTCCCCTCCCAGGCTACAGTCTCCTCCGTTCCTGGGCGGAGCTGGGCCTGCGGCTGTTGTGAAGGCTCCCAGCCTTCCCGGAGTCAGGCCTAATGGCGGGGGCTTTTCTTTTCAACAGCCTGAGCTGATGCGATACCCCCCACCCCACACAGCATTATTAACTGCAAAGAAAGGATCCCTGGCCATTTCCATTTCCTCTGCGGCTCCAGAACCCTGTTGTTATTTAATCCCAAGGCCACTCCCGCAGCATCCTCTGCTAGGCCGGCTCCACCCATCCACCTGGCTAATTCTGGGCAGTTCCCGCTTCCCCGGAGGGTAGCTGATGGGGGTGAGTGGGGATAGGCTCCCACTGCAGCAAAGGGCCGTCGCCTTCGGTGGACAGAGGCTCCTCAGGCCCGCGTCCCGTGAGAGTTGGGAAATGCAAAGGGGTGCAGAGGGGAGCAGCTAGTCTGGGCAGCCTAGGGCGGGCAGGCGCCAAGGCACTGAGGACATCACACTGGGGTATGGCGGGGGGTAAGCGGCGCTGTGAGGCTAGAGCCCGGCCTCTAGCTGAGGTGCCAGCATCGGCCCGGGGACAGGGGGTACTGGAGATGGAAGAGGCCTAGGCCCTGTCGCTGTCCACACCCAAGAAATGGTGGAGTGGGGGTGGGGTGGTCTGTACTCACTCAAGGAAGATTCAGTCTTAGGAATGTAACCAGATTCATTCAAGCAACCCCCACAATGCCCTTCCTTGCTATGGACATTTGACGTTTTCTTAATTTTTGGTAAGCGCAGCTTCAAGACCCCTCCCCGCGACGCCCCTAGGCTAGAGAAAGATAAGGCCCCCCGCAAGGGTCTTCCCGTCTCCCGCCCCGCCCCCCACCCCTGCGGCGGGTCGAGATCCCCCGATCTAGGTGAGTCCTCCCCCCCCAGCACTCGACCCAGGATTCAGAGGCCGCAGTGCCCCCCGCCCCGTAACGACACTGACGGTTTCTGCCCAGGCCCGCAGTGGCGTGAAGGTGGCCTTTACCTCCTCTCGCAGGCTGGGAGGGGGTACAGCCCGCGCAGCTGAGCCAGCTGCAGCAGTCGCCGCCGCCCTCCATTCATTAAAAAAAAAAAAAAAAAAAAAGACAACAACAACCTCCACCCCTTTTTGTAAAAGAACGACGGCCTCTGGAGGAGCTAGAGTCAGCCCCAGCAACCAGGGGTTAAGTTCTTTTCCGGCCCCCCATTCATAAAAAAAGGAGCTCGGCGCATGCGCCCGCGGGGTCTCTTGTGCCCACCCATTCATAGAATCGTGAACGGAGCGCGTGCGCACTGGAGCTCCCTTCCCTCCCATTCATAAAAAAGCCATTTTCCCAGGCAGTGGTTGCAACACCGCCGCGGAGGCAGCAAGAGGAGCTGACAGCGCGGAGCTGGCCCTGCGGTGCGCAAGGAGTCCTATCGGTTTCTCCCGCCGACGTCTGCGTGAACAGCGGCGTCTGACCCGCCCGGGTTCGGGGATTTACACAGGCGTGGAGCAATGCTTGTGGTTCTGCGGCTCTTCAAAGTAAGTCCCTGGCCGGTTTCGGGATCCGAAAGTACCCCCTCTGAGTCGCGACACGACTCCCCCTCCGGCTGGGGCAAATGGTGCGCTATTTCTAAGCGCGCCTCAGTGTTCCTTCCCTCTCCCTGCGCCTCCTCGAGCCGCTGCGGTGTGCCGCAGCTCCCTGACGCCCTCGGCTGGGCCAGCACGGCGCCGGGGGTGTTCACAGCCTGGCACCAGAGTTTCCGACCCCGGGGCACTGCCAAGCCCGACTTCCCCACTCTGCGACTCAGGAAGCCCCGTGCGTGTCCCGGGAGTTTCCTTCTGGCCTGGTTTCTTTCCTCCTGCCACCACCCGCCTCGAGCGTTGGAATGGGAGGCTCTAGGCTCGATCAGGAGCCACCTTTTGGGTCCGGCGGGCGCTTTTGCCCTGGGCACCTTGCCCACCCCGGGCTCCGTGCCCACGGTGCCAGCTCTGCCCAGATCTCCCCAGCCCACTGCAGCGGCCTATGCTCGACGTAGGTTTTTCTTTTCCCTTTGGAGCCGTGACGGACTGGGTTTTCTACCCTTCTGCCTCCTCCTCGATGGTCAGCACCGAGATGGCTCGGGACTGGGCATTTCTACTCCCTGTCTTTGGCGAGGCGTTCCTCGCCGTCTGACCTTTGATCTGTTGCTGCATTTTATGCTGTGCATGCCTCGCAGTTGTCTTTCCCTTCCCCGGCCTCTGCAGGGCCAGAGGCCCCTCGGGCTCCTCGTGCCTCCCTTCTCCGGGCACTGAGTGTGCCGGGCCCCGGGGCCCGGCCGCGCTGGGGCTGTGGTGGGGGCTGAAGGTGCGTTTACATAACGCCAGGCGTGTGGGAGCTGGAGAAAGAGGTTGCATGCGTAGGAGAGATAAGGTTCCCGCTTTCCCTCCTTCTTGGTGGTACCAGGTTGACATCACCGAGAAGAGAGAAATAGAGAGACGGTACGTTCTGAAAATTCTGAATCTCTAAGACCAAAGGGGTAAAGAAGGGGGGCAAAGGCGGGTTTGGGCAGCCAGGGCAGCTGGAGCTTGGCTTCATCACTGGGGCCAGGGCTGTGCCCAGTTCCCCCTCCATGCAGACGATCAAAAAGCATTTAGACAGTAGCTGCTCTTGTGCAAGAAGATGATTTCTCAATTCTCTTTGATTGGGGCTGGGGGTTGTGGGCAGAGAAGGCAAGAGAGACGAAAATGGTTGCATGGCTTGACGGCTGAGCGACAGCCAGAGAAGCAAACTGGGCCGGTGGGGCTGTATGGTGGTGATTAGAGGGGAGAGCTGCTGGCTGCCTGATTCACCAGCTGCTGGATGGGCGTCCATGTTGCCAAGGCTGGGTGAGGGCAGGAGGCTGTGTTCTGGCGCAGAGTCTCTGGGAACCCCCAAGCATGGTTAACGTTGAAAGGAAAGGTGTGGGCTCAGTGGGGTGCCCAGATCCAGTGGGAACCCCCACTTTCCGGCCTCCAAATCAGTGGTGTGATGATCTCCCGTTTGGGGAGGGGCAGGAGCAAGTGCATGCCTGTCTCATTAGCTGACCAGGGCTCTCCAATCTTTCTGACAAGCCTCTCGGGCATACAAAGCTGGAAGGTGAAGGCCTAGAGCATTTAGGAAATACGGCCTTATCAATCTCTTAATAAGCTCAGTCTGGCCTGCGGCCCTACCCAATATTGCACTAGTGATTTCACAATGTTTAGAGTTCTCTGGATCTTTACATGAATGGAGCATAAACGTCTGAATTGTTCAGTTTTTTTTTTCCTTTAGTCCGTGGTTGTGGGGTGGACGAGGAAAGGGAAGGCTGCAGTTGACTCCTTTAGCTCTGTTTCAGCAGAAGGGTGGGAAAGATGTAGATTTGTCCAGTGTGAAATCCAGTTTCCTCTCTTTGCCAGCCCTTGGGAGCAACCTCGCTTGCCAGCAGGCTTCAGGTAAATCCATTAATGTGAGCAGTGCACACAATGACCAACTGAGATGCTACGTTTGGCCAGTGCCTGGTAGGAGGCATTTTGATGGCATATTTCTGAAATATCCATGATGGACAAATGTTGGTCAGTTAGGGTGAGGAAGACTTTCATAAGACATCTCTTATTTTCCTTTTTTAGATTCTGAACCCAGGAGTCATTCCTCTTTTTGTGGAGTGGAAATCCTCCTCATTCCCACGACCTTTTCCAGATTACCATCATTCTGAAATGACAACATTTCCTTAAAGCTTTGGTTAGGCTTGGTGGGAGGAGACCGAACACATAGACTAGAATGATTCCTGGCTAAGCAGGACAGAAACTGGTGATCATTTGGAGCTTACAGATGCCATTTTTGTTTTAATCCTTCCAGAATAGGTATTCCACCCTCTGTCCAGCATATTTAGTCACTCCTCCACCTCCATCCCCACCCCCCCCACTCCCACTCTGGGAAACCTGACTGACTTAGTCTTTACCCAGAGGTGTGGCTGACTTGAATAACAAATGAAGGCAGCCTTTCAAAGCAAAATTTGAAAGTGAGTGATTTAAAAATAAAGGGAGGAAAAAACACTCATTAACACCTTCAAAAGTGGCCCTTGAAGGGGTACTGCTCTGCGGTTTGATACTTTGGGATAACACATGGGGACTTGGCATCCAATTCCTGATGCTAGCCCCTTGGTGTGACATCTAGCCCCAGATGTGGGGGCCCCACAAGCATTTTTCTTTCCTCAGGCCATCCTCTTGGGTAGGACCCAGATGTTTGTACCAAGGAGGTTTGGAAAGGAGCCCCCTTTCTTTAGTCAGAGAAGTTCAGTGTTCTTAAGAGCGTTAAGGCATTTAATCTGGTTCTGACTCCAGAGTGCCTGTCACGTTGTCGCTTCGGAGTTAGAAGTTCCCTTGTGAGGAAAACTTCAAGGAGTCTTGCACAAAGCTGGATTTAGGGACACAGTTGAAAAATTTGGATTTGGGATGTAGATATGAAAGTGTTCTTAAGGAAAGGGCTAATGGGCAAGAGTGGAAAGGTTCCATCTCAGGGCAAACCTGGATCTCCCTGATAGAAGGGAAAGCAGTGACCTGTTGGAATATATTTTTGGTCTTTCAAAAGAGCCAGAGGAAGAAGGTGATGAAGAGCAACATACAGAAAACTATTACTCCTTTCAGACCAAGCTAGGGGCCAGGTCAGAGCAGATGAGTAGCTAGGAAACCTGCTAAGCTTGGGCCTTAGTCTCTCCATCTGCAGAGTCGGGGAGGGGTGAAGGAAAGAAACTTCCCAAGGGGGCTAGGCTGGGCACCTCAATGAGGACCTGGTTCTAAGGGAGCCACTTCCTACACCGGAGCTGCATGAGGTTAGATTATGGGGTATTCTTGGCTCTCAAGGGGTCTGGGGCCACCCTGTGGATCCGGACAGCTGACAAGGCTGGGAATGTATCCCGGGACATGTGGCTGGACTTAAGAGGCTCCACCATTCAGCTGTAATAGTGATTGTTCTTTCCAAGGACAGTCAGTGGAGGAAGCAAGGGCACTGGGGAGGGAGCACAGATGTGCTGGATCTAGTGGAGAAGGGAAGAGGCCCTTCTGGGGCAGGTGGCCATTTGCAGAAGAGTGGCTTCCCTTGTCCGGTAGTCTTTCTTTTTCTGGTTGGGAGGAGAGGGCAGTCATCTCCTGCCCCATCCCAGGAATAAACTAAAATCTATTATTAGGAATCTATTATTAGAATCTCTTAGAAATCTCTGGTGGAGGGTGGTGAGACAAATTATCTTGGTGTCAGTGAGCGGGGCCCCTCCAAACTTTGATGTGGGCCAGGAGTTCCCAAACTGTGATTTCTAGTATCTCTTTAAGGGGATCTGAGCAGATAACCAATGAAAGAAACCAACATTTAAAGCCAGGTAGAACAGCCCAGAGCCAACTACAGCAAGACCCCTCCCGCTAGTCCTTGTGCTGGGGCTTTGGCGCTCAGCTGACTGGTTGTGGATGAGTAAGAGGAGAGGGTTGGGAACTGCTAGCTGGTAATGGGACAAAGGGATGAGAAGCAGCTGCTTTCTTTTGTGATCTCTAACGGATTACACCCAGAGGTGAGCCCCGTAGTGCTGGTGCTGGAGAGGGGTGGGGGAGCAGCAAGGATTCTCTGACAAATCCCGCTGCATCAATGCTTTGTTCTCTGCAGAGATGCAGAGATGGTTTTCCTCAGTGGGGTGTAGGGAAGGCAGGTCCCTGGCTTTCCTCACCACCACCACCCCCAAAACACCTTTTAAAGTCTTTTTGAAGCAATAAGTCATTATTTGGCTGGAGTTTAATTAACTAAACTGGGCTGTTGTCACAAAGAACCAAGTGGTAGTGGGGGGCGGGATCCCTGGCAGCCTAGAAACCTTGTCTTCTGAACTGATAAAAGGGTTAAACAACCCTTTTCCTGGGAGGACCTGCCAAGACTGAATGGAGCAGTGCAGAAATGGCCCATTCATTCCGAGCCTCTCACCAGTCTGTCATGTGCTGACCTCTAGGTGTGAAAGCACAGCTGTCAGGTTTTCCAAGTATTTCCCAACTCCTCTTCCCAGGGTAAGTCAAGGGGAAGAGGTGGGTGGGTGGCGTGGACCTTTAACACACCCCTTGGTTCTTTTCAGCCTGCCCACCTTGTGAGGTCTGCATCCTGACCTCACAGCCCCTCCCATAGGTACACAGGCCACAGACCACAGACCGCCAAGTGGCAAAGACAGGAGTGTATGTGCTCTGGGCTTTGCGATATCCTGCTGATTCAGTATTCTAGGACTGGCTTCTGGCTCCCTCTTACTCAGGCCCCTCCCTCCCTTCCCTACAGACCTGGAACAGAAAGCCCCATCTGAGAATGTGCCCTAGGGACCCTTAAGTTCAGCTTTGTAGGAGAGAGGAGAGGGAATTCCCTCCCATGTCAGGACTTCTTTAAGAGACTGCTTTGTGGTGAGATCCTACAAGTGAGACTTTAAAAAAAAAAAAAACTAAAACTAAAAATGAACACACTTAGTAAAGCCGCGGTGTATGAGGTGACAGAAGGGATGGTAAAGAAAACTGAATTGGAAGCCAAGGTAACTTGAGCTCTGGGCCTTCCTGTAATGACAGATTTCAACACCCCCCCACCTCCGCCACCAGCCTCCACTCTGCACAGTGAGAATTCCCTCAACGGGGCGGTGGAGGGCGCAATCTAATGTAACCCCTGTCTGGTTTCATTTCCCTGCTGGTTTGGTTAAGAGCCCCGCGAATGGCTTGATGAGGCTCCCTGAGAGGGCTGGTGGCAGACTGGGGAACCAATAGAGTTCTTGGCGGTGAAAGTGATCGGGGCTTCCCTGCCTTCACCCGAATACCCAGACATTACTGTTAAGTCAGGACTGTGGGGTTGAGGTGGCAGGCTCTGGAGCCTTTGCTGTCGGGTTCATATCGTGCTGTAATCACTTAGCCGCATTATGACCCTTTGTTCTTCATTTCTTCCTTGCAAAATGGGTGTTACTCTCCAAGGTGATGGTGTGAGGATTAAATGAGAAAATCGCTGAGGGCTTAGCACAGACGGCCTGACATGAATATGTTTCATAAATATTAGCTGCTTCCACAATTATTATTCTTTATTATGAGAAGTTGGGAGTGGAGGTAAAAGTTTCCTTTCCTTATGCTAATCCATAATAATGCCGCCTAAAACTCGATAGTGGTGCTTCTCTAAGTGGAGTGCTGGCTTTGTTTCTCTGTCCACAGTCTTCCAAATTGGCCATCAGTCTTCCAAAGAGCCTAAATGAGGCAAAGCCTCCTCTCCCCTATTTATATTATAAATCTCTTCCTTCCTTGCAGGGGAAGCAGAGTACATATTAAACTGCACTTAAGTTCCTCAGCATTGCTTAGGCTGGAGGCCCGGTGTGTCCCAGTGAGTAGAGATTGATCTTCTAAACCAACTGAGGGTTGGGGTTTTTTTTGAGACCTCATTTAGCTATGCTGAGGGGTTATCAAACAGGCTGCTCAGGAAGTAGTTTTTCTTGGTCAGCCAAATGAATTCTACCCTCCTGTGGAAGTCCCCGCTAATGGGGCGGTAAGGCAATGAGGCTTGAGGAGGGTTTTGAGCACTGCAACTCTGAGCCAGCCACTGGTTTTTGCTGAGCTAGTGGCCGGATGGAATCCGACATCAGGGTTATGATAGGGAAGATGCATTTTGGAATATGCCTGCTGGAGCCATCTTGGATGGAGCATGTCCCAAGAGAGCTGAGTCATCATGGACCAAGCTCCCACCCCCATGTCTGGCCCCAGCTCCAAGTCCAGATGTTGACAGCTACCTCTGGAGGGTGATGGGAGTCTGCTAAGGCCAACATCCCATTGCCTGCAGGCGCTGCGCCCACCCTGGCATCCTGGTGGGAATTTTCCATGAATGTGCCTTCTGATTTCAGGGCCTATTAAAATCCTTGAGCATTGCCCATGCCTTTTGTTTTACCCACAAAAAAAATGTGGCTGTTTTGAAGAATCCCAGGAATAGAACTAGGAAGAAGAGTGGATAATTTTCTTCTTTCCCCTTACTTTTTCTAACAGCATGGCAAGTCCCTAGCCTAGTCCTAAGAGACAAAAGCCCAACTACATGGGGCAAGACCCTGAGCAGTCGTGACCCAAGCTTCTGGAATAAGGGAATCACATTGTCTTTGTCTGGGGTAGGGGTTCAGGCTGAGACACCTCTTGGCTGGTGCCAGAGAGTCTCATCCTTTGCCTCCGTCAGCATTTTCCCTTCTTGTGCCCAGTCACACCTTTTCCTCCAGGCAAAGTTCCTAATCCTTGTCTGTTGACCCGAAACCCACTTATTTTGGAGCTTTGGAGCCCCTGCACAGAATAAGTGGGCTGAGATAGCATTCCCTAAAGTTCTGCCCCACGGTTGGCTGGATCCTTGGAAAAACCCCTCTCCGTAGATGCATATTTGACATCACCCCCATCCAGCCCTGACTACAGGGTCCCTATAAGAGGCTGCCTTGGTAAATGACCATTCTTGGTGGCAGAAGTTCCAGACACTTAAGGCTAACTGTGCTACAGGGAAGTCTGCCATTTGAAGAAGATGCTCTCCTTTCCTCTGGAGGGAGTGTGGAGATGGGAGGCAGGTGTTGCCATTAGGCAGACTTTCTCCCACATGAGAAAAACCGCACAGAAGTCCCAGAATCTTTTAAGTAGGTAGAGCCATGGGAGCAAAGCCAATAATACATGCCCTGTGCAAATGGGAAATATCAGTTGACTGAGCACTGAGCCTTATGGAAAAGACTTGATGCTTTTTTTGCATTTGCAGTATAGATGAAATACAGATGAGAACCCTGTCGTAAAAGCGGGTAAAGTTCCCTTTTATCCCCTTCATGAACTTTGCATCTAGAGCTAGCTCTTTCTTTTAGACAGGTCAGAAAGCATCTATAGAAGCCCTTCCCCCAACAATTTCACCATTTCTGATCAAATATTGTTTCCAAGTAGGGGAGTATAAATGAGTTACCCTGAATGCCTGCACCTCCCCCCCCCTCCGCAACCATTCCTCAGTGTAGACATTGATAAGTATGAATGAGTTACCTGGGGCAAGGTGTCATTCCTGTGATTGGAGTACCGGGATAGGCCAACTGTGTACCCAGTCTGGAGGGGCAGGGGATTAACTGGAAATGGAAACCTGTCAACCCCCGCCCTCTTCTTAGCATTACCTCTTAGGCCAGATGAACCTCACAGCAGAGGCACAGGCACAGCAGAGGCACTCTCCTAATGAGTACATCATTAGCATCATGAAAAGGCATTTACCAAACTCTACCCCATAACACATTTATTCAGTGGTCTGTTTTTTTGTGTGTGTTTTTTTTAAGACCATTATCTTTCCCTTCTATCCGCACCTTGTTCTGTCTCACACCCCTACCCCCTAGTGGACTCTTCCCAGAGTCTAATCTTTCTCTTGGATTCCAAATTGTGTCCCCTTGGGCAGAGGTCTTGGCCTTCTGCTGCTATTTCTTTAAATTGATCTCCAGCTGAATTCCGAATGTAAAGGTCAGCAGGCGAGGAAATGGCACTTCTAATAGAAAACAATGTGCACTTTCTAAATTTGAACCAAGTCGTTTCCGCTCTTTGATTTAAGTGACTTCCTGGGGTTCCGTGTCAGGCACTGCAGTTGAATCTCTGGCGGGATTCCAACTTAAAATTGCACTCTCTTGGTGAAATTAGAAACTGATCCAGAGTTGGCTTAGCTATTCTAGTAAATAGCATTTAGGCTGAATGTTCAGCTCAGCACTTGGAAATGGGTGATGTGAGTGCCCCTCTAGAGGATTTCCCATCCAAGTTGTCAGAAGTGCCCCTAGCCAGGGGTTATTAGCCACTGGAGGTTGCTGCTCTTAGAAGTGGTGGTACTAAGTTAATATCCTGGATGTGCAGGTATCCCGTACAGCCCTTCCTTCTCTTGTGACTGTGTGAAATAAAGACTTGTTTATCCAGCTGGTACACTCCATGGCAGCTTACAGGGGCTATCTGTCATGGTCACTACATCCTCAGCACAATGCCTGGCACACAGTCCTTTGGGTGTTCAGGAAATCTAAGCTGACGCTCTCTGGAATAGTGACAAGATTACTGGCAGGCAAGATGCTAGGTACTGGATAGCATTTTCTCATTTAATCCTCACAAGAACCCATTTTAGAGATGACAAAACTAAGGCAGGCATAAAGGTTACAGAACCTTATTTATGGCAACATTGTTAGGCAGGGGGTGAGAATTCAAACTTGGATCTGATTCCAGAGCCTGTGTTTATAACCACTGAGCCATCTATCTTAAAAATAGAACATATTTCACAGCCGTTGCAAGAATGAGTTGGTCGGGCTAGGTTTGAACTCCTGCTGAGTTCTGTTGATAGTTTTGTGTACCTTTGGGCAAGTTATTTTGAACCTTCGTTTTCTGTAACTACAGAAGGGATAATCATAGTAGTTACGTTTTAGAGTGACGTGTCAATGACGTAATATATATGGTGCTTAGCAGAGTGTGTGGCTCATTAAGTGCTGAATAAGTGTTGTTTCTACCACTCACTATTAATTGTTATTATTAATCATCTAAGCCTCGATGCTGGAGAGTCCAATCAGAGAATCCAGTTTCCATTTCATTTGTACTCCCGAGGACCTGTTGGGGGGGGTGGGGGTGTTAACAGGCCAAGTACTGATGCCTGGAATCCACTCTCTCTTCCTTTTCCCCACCTCCCCCCACCCAGGGCCCCTAGAAGCCTGTTCCTCTGCACAGTCCAGGACCTCCAGCCCCATGGAGCCCCCGATCCCACAGAGCGCCCCCTTGACTCCCAGCTCAGTCATGGTCCAGCCCCTACTTGACAGCCGTATGCCCCACAGCCGCCTCCAGCACCCACTCACCATCCTCCCCATCGACCAGATGAAGACCTGCCACGTGGAGAACGACTACATAGACAACCCTGGCCTGGTGCCCCCTGTTGGCCCCAAGCGGACCCGGGGCGGGGCCCCAGAGTTGGCCCCGCCGCCTGCCCGCTGTGACCAGGATGTCACCCACCACTGGATCTCCTTCAGCGGGCGCCCCAGCTCCGTCAGCAGCAGCAGCAGCACATCCTCTGACCAGCGGCTCTTAGACCACATGGCACCGCCGCCCGTGGCTGATCAGGCCTCCCCGAGGGCTGTGCGCATCCAGCCCAAGGTGGTCCACTGCAAGCCCCTGGACCTCAAGGGCCCGGCGGTGCCCCCTGAGCTAGACAAGCACTTCTTGTTGTGCGAGGCCTGTGGGAAGTGTAAGTGCAAGGAGTGCGCATCCCCCCGGACACTGCCCTCCTGCTGGGTCTGCAACCAGGAATGCCTGTGCTCGGCCCAGACCCTGGTCAACTACGGCACCTGCATGTGCCTGGTGCAAGGCGTCTTCTACCACTGCACCAACGAGGATGACGAGGGCTCCTGTGCCGACCACCCGTGCTCCTGCTCGCACTCAAACTGCTGCGCCCGCTGGTCCTTCATGGGCGCCCTGTCCCTGGTGCTGCCGTGCCTGCTCTGCTACCTGCCGGCCACTGGCTGCGTGAAGCTGGCCCAGCGCGCCTACGACCGCCTGCGCCGCCCTGGGTGCCGCTGCAAGCACACGAACAGCGTCATCTGCAAGGCGGCCGCCGGGGACGCCAAGGCCAGCAGACCCGACAAGCCCTTCTGACACTTGGGGTCAAAGCCCCCGCGCTCCCCCTGAAAACCTGGTTCCCTTCTGACACCTGAGAAGACCACAGCAAGGCCGGAAGTTTTAGTGTCCCGAGGCCGACCTTGCCGGGCTGCCCACTCCCCACCCTCCGCTTCTGAAGCCGTGGGGACCACCGCTGCCCTCCCTCCCGCCCTCTCTTCCCCGAAGGGATGAAGAAGCACTTGGGGTTGTGTTTTGGTTTTCTTTTTTCCGGGCCCTGGAACTCTGGCAGGGGCGTGGTGTGGCAGGGAATGGGGGGCGTTCTTTTTCAGAAGACCCAACATAGATGGGGGCACATATCTGGAAGTTGCAGCTGCTTGAACCGCCTTCCCGGTCCCTCCTCCCCCCTCTCTGCCCGCCCTTCCCTTCTCTTTGGCTGCCTGGGAGGAATCGTTAACTGCGGGACCAGGGGACCTTTGGAGAAGACCCTTGGAACCCTGACGTCCGTACTGCTCCTCCCCCCCAACCCCAGGTTGCCCCAATACCCTGGGGAAGGCGAAGACCCTGGCAACGCCTGTTGTATATACTTGGGACCCCCCCCCCCTACGAGCAGAGGCTCATTCCCCACTCTGCCTCCCTGGAGCCGCAAATGGATTTAGGAGCCACTACGCCGTGCAGTTCTCCCTTCCAGCTTCATCACTAACTCTCGGGGGTGTTCCGCCCATAACACCGTCCTTCGGTTCTTACCGAGTCGCAGACTCACCTGCCACTATGTGCCCCGAGTTCTCTCTACCCAAATCCTTTCCAGAAATTTTATGGGTAGAGAAGGCCGGGGCGGCACATGCGAGACCAAATATCATTTTGCCAATGAGTCTGAGGCTGTGGTCTCTGGATCCAGTCATTATGTTTTTATAGAACAATTAAACTAGATGCTATAACGGTGTTTTAAAAAAAATAATAATGAAACACTTGCTTCCTTTTGGGCCACCCCCCAGGAAGGGCTGATTTCAAAATCTGGGGGGCGAGCAACCTCAAGGAACACAATCCCCCTTCCCACCAAGAAGAGGATTTTAACAGCAAAGAAGAGAGGCAACACCTGTTGGCAGAGTGACAGAGCCAAGCTGGGTGTGGGCTCCTCTTCTGAGTCTGCTGCTTGCTGTCATAGCCTTTTGTGTACAGTGATGTGTCTGTATCTTTAATGTAAATAGACAGATGATGAAAAAAGAGTCTATTTTAGTGTTAGGAAGCCCTAGCGGGGGAGTAAGAGCAAGGGGGGGGGGGTGGGAATTCTCCAGGGGCTTCTTGGGATTGAGCCCTGCTTCTGTGTGTGGCCACACCACCCGCCCCCTCCCAACAGCCCCCAAAGACGTAGCAACTCTTTCTCTCAAGGTGCTAAAGGACTCAAAAGTGCAGCACGTCCAGTGGGTAGGTACTTGTTGCATGCAAAAGCTATATTGTGTCTGGTCCTTCCTCCCCAGCTGTTGTGCAGGGGTTTTCGCCTCGTGTGATATTCTGTGTGTCGTTCCACCCCACGAGAGGAGGTGGCCTGGGTCAGAAAAGCTACCCCAGGTGAAACTGGAAGTGCATTAGGCAGACCTTGTGTAGCATTTCCAGTTTGTTCTGTAGGAACAGAACTGCCTCCAGGATGGAGGCAAAGAGGCAGGTAGCTGTGATTGGCATGCACCCAATGCTCAAGGACTTTTTTTTCCTTCTTGAAGACTAGTAGTAACATCTTATGATTTAGAATAAGTTAATTGTAACCGTAGGTATTTATTGATTGGAGGAAAGGAGGGGAGGGTCTTATTATTTTAGGCTTTATTTATATAACATTTGCTGGCTTGTAAGAAGTATGAAATATTGCATCTGCGTTTTCTAAGGCTGATTCATGTAGCTACCCTTGCCATCTTGCACAAATAGGAGGGAATGGTAGGAAAAACACATTCAGCCAACCACTCACTCTTAATTGAATGTATCAGATGTGTACTGAAGGGGCTGGAGATGTTTTCCTCGGCGTGCAGAGGTTACCCCCAAAATGAAGGGCACGCGTCCACTCTTGGCAAGGCCTCAGAACTTTTCCCAGGGCCCCTCTCAATTGTCTCCATGGAAAACTTGACCCAGTGGCAAGTTGCACTTTGGTGATCTTGGTGTTGTACACATCCGTTCTGTGGAGAATTGATTTACATAAGCTGTGTACACACACACACACACACACACACACACACACACACACACACACACACTACACACCTACCCCACCGACCCTCTTATCTACACAGACCCTGTTTCCTGACAAACAGTCTCCTGACCCCTGATGAACCCTGACTTTGTGTACATAGTTGTAAACACGGATTTTTCTGGTTTGGGTTTCCTTTTTTCTTTTTTTCTTCCTCCTGTTTTGCCTTGTTCTTTTTGGTTTGCATTTAACCTGCTAGATGGATGTGTGCCGAGCTCCCGGTGTCCCCTGTGCTCAGTGGTAAAGGGAAGCAGTGAAGCAGCTCTGGTTCTCCCAGCTCTGTTGCGGGGCAAGCCCTCAGCATGTTTTTCTCAGCTTCTTGGCAAAAAAACAAAACTGGCTTGCCCGTGGGTCCTGGGGGCCAGTCAAGGGCCACTGAGGGACTGAAATCTCAGAAACACGACACATTTCTCTGGGTGCTCTGGCTGATTGTGTTTCCATCGGCAGTAGCTTCCTTGGCTGGATTATGCCTCATTTTAACCTTTTTTTTTTTTTTTTTTTTCTAAAGAGCCAGCTAGTTCCCATTTCTGTTCAGCCTGGGGTGGGTGGTGGTTCTGCCTGGAACTGGGGGTAGGGTCCACAAGCCTGGGTCCAGGACACATGTCCCAGTAGGTCGTGGCTGCTCCCACCCTGAGGGTGGGTTTGTGAAGGCCCAGCACTCCAAGAAGCACCCTGAGAACTGGCTCTAGGATAGCCCAAGACCTTCCGGATGGATGTCGGGGCGCAACCAAGTCCCTTCTCACAGTCCCTTGCTGGAAGGAGGTGAAGACCAATCCCCGCTGCTGGTGTGGGCCCCTTCACAGCCAACAGAAGTGAAAGACCTTCATGTGACACGTCTAGTTCTTCAGCGCTGTGGAGTCTGCGTGGGTCCCCAATGTACACTGAGTGGGGCCCAGTTAGATCGTGACTGGCCCAAGTTTGCACAACATGGAAGGTATTGGTCGGGAGCAAACACCCCGTTTCCATCACCTCGAAGTTTCATAGTCTCCCCCACTGCCCCAGGAGATGGCTGATGGGGTTGGGGCAGCATGACTTTGCACTGTACAATTCACGAGGGCATCTCCCAAGCTTCACCGGCCTTCTGGTTCATGCCTTCGGTAAGCATTTCCATGCCCTCTGCTTACTGTGACAGTTGATGACAAATCTTGCGCTGCCATGTTTGCTGTGGGTAACTCCGTGTGGTGTCTGTCCTACCTTGCTTTCTCTTCTCACAGCCCCCCAGTTTGGTTTCGTGTTACAAACAGAAAAAGCTGTTCTGAGGTTCCCACCCCACCACATTCCTCCTTCCTGTTCCCTCTTCACTGTAGCCCCGTCTCACCCCACATCAAAAGTTACCACAGAAGGTTTCCTTTGTATAGAATATTTATTTTGAAGCTCTATTTTAATAGTATTTATTTTAGAAAGTCTACTATTGTAAGAGTTCTTCTGTTTGTGAAGAAAAAAACAAGTTAAAAACTGAATGTACTGATCTAGAAAATATATATAAATATATATTGTTAAATATACACAGGACTGCCGTTTCTCGTGTGTTTGTGTTCACACCCCCACACCCTCATCCAGCAAGACTCTGAATTTGTCAGGGTTTGTCATCAAGTGGGAATGCATACCCCAGCTCTGGCAGGACAAAGGGGCAGAGAAGGGGCTCTTTGTGCCAGAACAGTCCCTCGTTCTGCTTCTAGGACACACTGACAACCACTGGAGGTGAGCTTCACTTTCTTACCTAGCTGAATTCTACCAGGTGCTGCCACCTCTTCCCCACACAGGTGTGTATTTGTAACAGATGACAAACTTCAGGGAGGCAGAGGAGGTGGCAAAGGGTCATCTGACCTGTCCAGTTTAGAAAAATTATGCAATTCTCTCCTTTGGGTAAGCCCTGGTGCCCCCAAAGCAGATTTCAATGCACACAGACCCATACAATGCTTTAAGAAGGCAAACAGAAAACCTTTGGTGGTTTCCTTATTTTCACCAGATTGGTGGATATTGTACAAGAGCAATTCCTTTCACTAAGAAGTCTCCCATTTAATGCCTTGCCTTTGCCCTTCTAATGTACCTTCTGTGCGTTTCTTCTGTCCCCACCCCATCCCCTCAAAAAAAAAAAAAAAAACTGGTAGAGACCTGGCCACTTCTCACTTTATGTACCCGGGGGAACTTTTTTTATTTTGAACATGTGAACACCTGCCTCTTGTTTTCTGAAAGAAAAGGAGTTGAGTGATTTTTTTTTTTTTTCTGTTGCCATTAAGCATGGGCACACAAGCAACAAGGATGGGCGAGGGGGGCCTCAGGAGGAAGAGAAGGAGCCCGGGGGTCCAGTTCTGGTTTTCTCCGGAGTCATCAATTTCTGGCATCTTCCAATTCTTGGTTAAAGCCTCAGGTTCCTCTTGAGATAGCTAAACCCATTACAAGGACCCTCTGGTCAATGCCAAAGAAGGCACAAAGGATGTTTGTCCTCAGCGTGGTCCTGTCTGCTCTAGAATTTTAAGAATGAAGATAGGCTCCAGCCTCCTCGGCCAGACCACGTGGCCTATCCCGTTCCCAAATGGATGGACGAAGAGTAATTTGTACTCCGAAGTCTTCCTGTGCCGACAAGGGAAGTTTCACGCTGCTGATGCTTTCCTTTTTAATCCCCTCAGTCCTAGCTGCTGTATATCAGGCTTTGATTCAGCCTTGGATTTCCTGATGCTTGGCCTGACCCTGGTTTTACTTGGTCTCTCATATTCAGAAATGAAAAATAACAAAAACCTACGCAAGGTGCTGGGTGCTTAGAATCTCACTAATCCAAGTGCTGTTTGAATAAACATACAATGATTTTTTAAAAACTCCATGTCCAGAGCAAAAGTTCCACATTTACCTCCCTTATCTTTCCTTTCCTGACTGGCCCTTCCTCCCCTTGCTTCCCAGTTACAAAATGGCTTTGGGTAATAATAATGGTTAGCATTTGCTGAATAGAACATTTTCTTTCTGCCAGGAATTGACCAATACACGGCCGATAGTACTTTTAGCTGCCTCTTACAGGTGCAGACACAGGCTCATAGACCGGGTTGCATGCCCAAGACATGGTTGGGAGTGGATGGGAAAAACAGGGAGTTGAAAGCTTAGCAGCTCAATTTGTGTTAGAAGCAGAGAACAGAGTAAAAAGACTCCCCAGTGATTGAATTTTAAAATAAGGCGGAAG